GCCTGTGTTACTTGTACTTTTGCCAAGGAAATGATAACTGAAGATGCTTATTATAGGCCTGGATACATAAATCTGGAATTAAGGAATGGATCTAGACTCATAATATAGAACTTGAATGAAGCATTTAATCTTTTTATAATCATTTTATATCATTCTTTTTATATCAGTATTTGCTCAGTATAAGTTTGACTAGCATGAGATTATGGAATAATACAGTACTATATAAAGAAAACAAGTGTATATAAGATGTGCCACACTACAAAGCAAAAAAAAAAAAAAAGATACATCCTTAATATTGTCCCAAATCCTTTTAAAATTTATAACCAATTCTTCATATGTATGATGAATGAAGCCACACCATTGTTTTATTTTTTTCTTATTTGTAGATTGACTTATGTTACTTCAAAAATAAAAAACCATCTCAGAAGATTGCTTACATATCTCCAATCGTGGATTATTTTTTGATAAACAAAATAACCATTGGTAGTGCCCATATTACATACAACTATATAATACTGAGAATGTGCTAATGTTTTCGCTGGTTTTAGAAACTGATTTTAGAATATATATGCATAGTCAGATACTGAGAAATTTCCATTACTTGACTTTGCTGCTTGCTCTTTGCTGTGTTCTAGTGGTTTGGCAATAGATTAGAGGTTGGGTTTCCCACCATTTGGTACTAATTATCTAGGAACAATCTGATTTACATTTATTAGATTCACATGGTTGTGTTGCCTATATTTATATTAGAAAAAGGGTTTATTTTGCCCTCTTAGCCTCATGAATGCCGCCAGAAGATTGTTCTATTATATGATGTGGGAATAACAAACTAAATCATTTTGTTCCTTTTGAATCTTATGTCTAGGTTCTTACATTTTATTTTTCTGGCTACAATAGATTTTTACCAAACCAGAGTGCTGCCAGGAAATTAAATCACTAAAATTGTAGTCCTTTGTAGTCTTAAAGAGTTCTGGAACTTCTATTGTTGAGTTAAATTTTTTTTCTTCAAAAAATAAAAGTCTCCCTTGCAATTAAACCTAGTGTTACTGAATAAAGTGACATACTCCGCTGTACAGTCACTGATTACATTTGATAGGACAATTATAACTTGAAACATGTACTTCTTTGTGGGTAAACAAGCCTGCCCATTATCCTTCACTACTTATTTCTCATCTGCTGTTGAAGTAGGATAGGATGAACAAAAGTATATTGTGAAAACTGAATTACACAAAAAGCTAAATGTGAATCTGAAAGGCATACATTTTAGCCTGAACATGGGTTCAAGTACATTGGGTACTCACAAAAATGATTACTTATCCATAATTACACTTCCATAATTATTAGTTATACAAGAAAGGATTCTAAGGAAGTGAACCAAATATGATAGCAAAAACAATAGGTCCCTGTTTCAGTCCTAACCATGAATCTTTTGGTCTTTTCTTACTTCCATTTTCCTGTTTGCTAAATTCATATCAATTTAACAGGCAGTATTCTTGTAAGACCTGTAAACACACAATGGATATAGATTATTGGGGGGGGAAATTTATAGTGATGTAATTTCCAAATTCTTAGTGTCTTTATTGATAAGATTATTTAAAAGCAATTCTGAAAATAAGTCCTAAATTTTAACTTTTATGTTCAATTAGTATAAAAATACATAGAAATTTACCAGTATAATTTTTACCATTACGTTGCCCCATCTTTATAGTATTGTTTATGAGAAAACATTTTCTCTTCATTAGGAAAATTTAATTTAGATGCCTGTGTTTTAAAAATACATTTTAAAGGGATTTGTTTTATTAGTTTAATTATAAGTAGAATTCATATATTAATAAGCAAAATCAATCATAATTTATACTTCAAAACAGTTCCAAATATTTATATTGTCAGTAAAACTCAATTTATAATTTTAGCATTAGTCTAATACTCCTTTACCTATCACCAAGTGACGATTTCGTCTTTTTAAAAGTTTTGTGTAAATATACATTATTGGTTAATGAAATTTAAATAACTTTATAACATTTTATCATTGTACAATTTTGGCAGAGCTCAAAGTTGAAACATTTAGGCCATTGCCTAAATATACCAACCACTATGTACTGAAGGAAAAGCTACAAACTGCAACACAAACCCCATTTATGTACACTTCTCATTAAAAACAGGTTCTCTTAATCTATCAGCTTCTGTCTAGGATGTTATTGCTGGTCAGAGAATCCCATTAATATCATTTTTTTTTATCCTTTGCACCTTCCTAAACACCAAGACATCTAAAAGTATCAGCATAAGAGGTGTAGTGTGTTTCTGAAGGACAGACCGTCCAAATCAGCTGCTTTCTAGTCATCTATTTATCTGAGTGTGTTCCATTCCTTTTCATAAGCTTTTCAGTGAATAATGTACAGAAGTGGACAGCCTGTTCCTTATTCCATTCGTGGTTTTCTTTCGGAAGCTCCCCTGACATGTTCACATGGATGAGCCTGTGGTCTTTACAAAGCCAGTGGCACAGCTCCCAGCATCACAGCCATAGGAAAGCTGCCACCGTAGGACACACTGATAGAGGACCGGAGGACTACCTCAGAGAAGCCATATTGGCTTTCTGAGGCTGTCCATCTTCGGGGAAACAGAGAGCCTCGTTTCTCTCCTGTGGAGAGGCTGGTGGGTTATGCTGCCAACCTTGCAGCTAGTAGTCCAACTTATAAACCATAGTGGCACAGGAGCTTATTTTGAAGGACTTTTAAAGAAATTCGAAACGACGTTGATGAGGAAAAGGCCAGGAAAGAATAAGGTATTTGGTTGTTTTTTCAAGGTAACAAGGACGGTCTTAGGAGAAATTCATTGGGAAGGCAAGCCTCACCAACCCTGCAGACCTGCACTTGCTCCTGCAGCCTTCTTTTTCTTGTCAGAGCTCAAAGAACATTTGATTCCACGAAGCAACATTTGGTGTTATGTCATTGAGGAGTGTAGAGACGGAGCCAGTGCCTTTGGAGATGAATAGACCCAGATGAAAGATATGTCAAGAAATGAAAGCTTCACGTTTTGATATCTTATTTAATAAAAGGTTTTATGAGTTGGTAGCAGTACTTTTAAACTTGCAGATAGATAGATGATAGATAGATAGATAGATAGATAGATAGATAGATAGATAGATAGATAGATAATCTATAAGATAGATTGGATACTTCTGGAGGAGTAGTGATGATTCCTCTCCCTGTCTTGTTAGTTCCTCCATTACTGTCACTACAGCCAACGCGCCTGGTTCCAGATTCCCTTTGGCACAGTTAATCCCACCACATTCTAAATGTGGCCTTCCCAAGCCAGTCCGTGAGAACAGCATCCCAAGACCTCATGTAATTTACTCAGCAGAAGCTCTTTTACTACTGACAGGACTTTTATTTTATCAAACATGCCATTCATATAGTAATTTAAAAATCAGTTATGTCAGAAGGTTTCAAATTACCATGATGTGATCTGGAGCCTTTGTGTGTTCCATTTTTGTTTCCTTTGGTTCCTGGACACCAGAGAGTTTCACTTAGAGAGGAGTGATATTGTTTAATTGCACACACACACAGATGAAATAGGAAAGGTACCAGGCCCATCAGTTATAGCAATGATGAAATTACATGATAAGAGATTCTAGTAAACAAGGATTAAGAGTAGGGTTCAGTGCAAAATGAGCAGCATCCAGATCTGTATGATTAGAGTGAACCAAACAGAAATTGGGATGAGAATATAATGCATCTTTCAAGGAGTTAAAGTTTGAAGGGAAGAGAAACAGGAGAGTGCCTAGAGAAAGAGGAAGAGAGTAAGGAATTGTTGTTTGTTGGTTATGTTTATTTAATGACAAGGAAGGTTTGAATATCTTTATATCCAAGAAAGAGGAGTGAGATGGAAACCAGGAGATGAGTATTGCTGAGTGGGTGGAAAGAAGTGAAAGACAACTTGCTTAAAGTTTTTGGATACCTTTTATGGTGGATCAATGAATGCTAAGGAATAGGAAAGGGAAATTCCAATGAATTTCTTTCATAGAAAACATTGGCTAATCATCATTGTAACTGCATCGCAAACCTTCCCACCCAACCTTATTTCTCTTAATCATCTGGATCACCTATGAATTACGGGTCAAGAAATATATTTCAGAACTCTAACTTTAATGTGAATCCCTTCGTACTTATAGGAAAAGCAACTTTTCCTCTAAAATAGAAATACACTCTGTTTTATTGCTAGTCAGATCAGATCATAGGCAAAATTAACACATAAACACGTACACCGTAGACTAAAAGTGCTGATTTTATTCTTTCATTACATCTTGGCTACATACTGAGATACTTTGTGATTATCTTTCTCTCTATTTGCCTTTATTGGTTCAGCCCAGATAAGTCAATTATTTCAGTGATACATTTAGTGATTATTAATTTCATAACGTTGCTATTTATTACCCCAAAACTTGAATACAATCCTGTTCTAGGAATATAAGACAATGCAGTTAATATAATAGTTGGTTATCATTGTAATTATAAATAAAAATTAAAATGTACTCTTGAATACTGAAAATTCATCAATTGTCTTTAGATAGTTAATATCAAAGACAGGTCATTCATATTTAATTGTGTTTAAATTCTTAATCTTATGAAAACTACATTGAACTTAATACAAATAATTTCTGACATATTTATAATATACTTTTATAAGTACCATTTATTTCTAGAATAACAAAAAAAAGATCCAGTACTCCTGTATATTCACTCTAGAATAACATGATCATCATTTTTTCCATCATTTTGGGGAATAATTTTGCAGAAATTGTTTAGTGATTTCTTGTGGTTGAACATTGTTCCACATAACATTTCGAACCATATAAAATTTCCAATATTTAACTATGCGATCAATAAAATGAAAAATTAATATTAGTCAAGCAATTTTTATGTCTAATACATTTAAAATATTTTAAATGATAATGTATTTAAATGAAACACAATCTCTAATTCATATTTATTTTATTGCAGGTAAGCAATGTGACTCCCAAGTCACCATCAACTGACATCTTTGATATGGTTCCATTTTCTCCAATTTCACCCCAGTCTTCAGTACCTACTCGCAATGGCACACAACCACCTCCAGTACCTAGTAGATCTTCTGAGATTAGTAAGCTTTATAAACCAATTATTATTTTCTTGCTATATTCATGTGTATTTTATGTTTTTAATGAATGCTCTTATATGAAACTATATCTTAGCATACTTGCTACCAATTTTAATGATTAGTGTAATTATGTTGATACACACACATGAACGAGGGGTTATTCCCGCACCCCCCCCCCCAAAAAAAAAAAAAAAGGGAAAAAACTCCACTGGGAGGAACTTTCATAGTACGCGTTTTTCCCACTAGGCAAGCATCGTGCAACTCGCTGTGAGTTAGTACACCCAGTGGTGTCGCTTGGGGAAGGTTCTCTCTGTTCACAGTGAAATTTTTCATGAAACCGTTTAGCTTGAACCTCGTTTGTTTGTTTTTGTGATGACCAATTTAAGAGAACAGCATGCTTCTGTAAAATTTTGTTTCCTGCTCAGGAAAAATGCTGCAGAAATTGTTGTGATGTTGAACATAGCATACAAGGACAGTGCTATGGGGAAAACTCAAGTGTAAGAGTGGTTCTCGTTTCAAAAAGGGTGAAATGTTGATTGATGACAGGCCTTGTTCTGGATGAAAACATCAACAAAATGCGTGACTTGTGCTTGAAGTAAGATGATGGAGCATTTTGAAGAGAATGGGAAGTTTTCTGGACTATCTTGGAGTTCGGTTCAGTGAATTTTAACAGCAGATTTAGGAATGAGAAGGGTCGCTATGAAATCTGTGCCTTGGGGTCTGACTGAACAGGAGAAAGAGCATCAAATGGAAACATGCCATGCTTGGAAAGAGCAACTCCAAAGCCACCAGATTTTTTTCCCAAGGTCATTACTGGTGATGAGAAAAGGGACTCTTCTGATGATCCCCAGAGCAACCATCAATCAAACCAGTGGAAGACGCCATTGTCACCTCTCGAAAAAAGTTTCTCAAGTGAAATCAAAGATCAAGATGATGCTCTTTTGTTTCTTTGATGTGAAGGGATGGTGCATTTGGAGGTCTTTCCACCAGGTCAGACTGTTATTCAAGCTTTCTATTTAGAGGTTCTGAAAAGATTGCATAACAGTATGTGACAAAAAAGGCCTGACTTGTGGCAGAAAGGGACTGGTTTTGCCACCACAACAATCTACCTACTCATGCAGTTATCTCAGTGCTCCAGTTTTTGGCAAAAACAAACGAACAAACATGCCTCTCTTGCTCCATGCACTTTACTCACCTGACCTCACCCTGGGCAACTTCTTTTTGTTTCTGCAAATGCAGAGGGACATGAAAAGGAAAACGATTTGATGACATAGAAGAGGTAAAGAAAAAAATGAGGGAGGTGCTGTCAGCCATCCAAACAGATGAGTTTGAAAAATGGTTCCAAGAATGGAAGCACATTTTGACCAGTGGTTAAGTGTGATGGAGATACTTTGAAGGTGATAAGGTTGCTTTGTTTAAAAAAAAAAAAATTAAATACATAGCTTTAGGGAAAAAAAAAATCCAGTTTTGAGGGAGTACTCCGTGTGTGTGTGTGTGTGTGTGTGTACACTAAATTCAATTAATTGTATTCAATTTTCAAATTTTGAGGATAGTATTAAAGCCTACACTATTTGCAGTTTTAATCTCATAAAAAGATATTTTGATATAGGTTTATTTATATCATACTGCAAACCACTTACTTTTATTGAGTTATGAATTTAATTTTTAATTTTAATTTAATCATTCAAAAGAAATCTTGTACTAATTATTTTTTACATGTTTGATAGAATTTGGTTTAATATTTTTATCAAAGACCATATTTACAATGTTAAATAAATATATAAATTTATGGGTTCTATGACTGATTGATTCAAAATTTACACACCAAACATTATATTAAATGCTGAGATTTTGGTTTGTAATCATATGTGAACTCTTTCTTGATCATTAGAATGCTATAAGGCCCTTGCTCTTCTGTTTTACCTTCTTAAGTCTTTTATGCAAATAGATGGATCTAGAAGAAACATTCAGCTTTCTTTTTGATGAATGAGAAAGCATTCAGAAGGTGCTCATTCTCAGTGTTGTGGTTGTATTTGTGATCAGTGGCCTCACAGAAACTGAAAGAGTGCTTTTCAATGGCCACAATCAGTCACTCTAACCAAAGAGAAAGTAGAGCAGAAAGTTCCATGTTTTATGTCCTATTGCATCCTCTGTAGTTTATTTTAATAGATTTAAAATAAAACTCTGATATTGTAGCTTAAAGTTTTAATGCATGGCAGGATCTATATTGATTTATTTTTCTCTGTAGAGCTTAACATAGTACATGGCTCAAGTCAGATATTGAGCAAAATTTAGAAGATTAATTTGCAAATATAAAGTATTAGATTAGATACTTTAAAAATTACTTCATTAAATAGTCCAAAATTTTACATGAAGTTGCAATATGTTTTAAATAACTTTGAAATATTTTGTTCTGATATAAAGTAGTTTTTCAAGGAAGGAGTCCATAATATACATGTGCTTTAGAACATGTTGCTAGTAATGTGATATCACACTGAATATTTTTGTCTTCATGAGTATTTCCTCATCTCTTTATCTCTCTCTGTCTTTACTTCTTTGGGTCTCATCACTGGATTATTCATTCATCTATTTGTTCCACAGGGTTTATGTAGCACATGCAGAATTAGAGTGATTCTGAAATTTGAAATGACAATTGTAACATATCCATTATAGATGATTATTATTCAAGTAAGAATATGAATGGAGATAAGTGAGTAGATTTGAAGATATTGAGGAAGGATGAGCCATAAGACTTGGTGACCAGCAGCATGGATGGTGACTGAGAGGCTAACTTCAATTGTAATTCAGAGTTTTAGGTAAAAGGTCGCTGACATTGAAAACTCGTGATAAAGAAGGGGAAAAGGCTGAGTTATAGTGTGTATATTGAAGTGCCTTTGGAAAGTCTAGGTGGAGGTGGTCAAATAGTTTTAAAGGTTTTATTAATGAAGTGGCCCTCTGCTACAGTTTAATCTTTGCATATTTCTGATTATTAAAGTTTAGTATTTATAGCCATATATACAGATAGTCATATATGTGTGTAAACATATACATATACCTATGTATAAAGCAAGTAATTGTGGAGAGATTGTTCATCTAGGTTTTATTTATGAGATTATCCAAGAGTCTAATTCAGTGTTGTTTTAGTAATAGGATTTTTTTCTTTATATGGGATCTTACATTTATTTATTCATTCCTTTTTCATTATCTAGTATATAAATAAAACAAATGCCTACATGTTTGCTACGTTAGTTTCTCTCTGTGTTGGTACCTGAGAATGCTAGCAGTTTCCCAGGCATGTTTTTAACCACCTGCTTTTTGTGTCCATCAAATATTGTGTCTTCACTCTGAACATAAACCGCACTTTAATTTGTTTGCTTAATAGTTATGTTCCTTGCTTGACTGTAAATTCAATAAGGTAAGAGACTGGTCTTTCTTTCATTACTTTGATCCATTCCCTGGCATTTCTAGTAGCATGTAACATCCATTTCATAAATATTATATAAAGGAAAGAGTGGTGTTGTTTTGTTTTTTGTTTCTTCTTGCTTTAATAAACAGAATTTTCTCACAGTTTAAGAGGCAAGGAGTCAGGGCACAGACGTTTCGGGAAGACCTTGTCTTTCTGTTGGCTTGGCATCTATCTTCCTCCATTTCTGCTCGCTCTTTGACTTGTTTTATCCCTTTTATAGCTCCAAAGAGACTAATTTAAGACAATCCCCCACACTAATCCTACCTCTTTTACATGACAAATACCACTAATTTCTTTTTTTTTTTTAATCATTTTTTGGCGTCTCATACAACTTTCATCACAATGCATACATCCATTCATTGTATGTCAAGCACATCTGTACGTATGTTGCCCTCATCATTCTCAAAACATTTGCTTTCTACTTAAGCCCTTGGCAAATACCACTAATTTCTAAATGGGATTGTAATCACCAGCATTCAGATTTACAATACATATTTTGGGGAGACAGAATTTAATTCATGACATAATATTTTCATAAACATGGGTAGCATTTATACCCTCGTATGTTGTTGTTATTGTTGCTAGCTGGTTCCAACTCTCGGCAACCGTGTGAAGAACACAATACTGGGTGGCCCTTCATCTTCCTCATAATTGTTCTTATGCTTGAGCCACGGTCGCAGCTGTGTCAGTCGAACTCATTGAGGGGCTTCCTCTTTTTCACCGTGCCTCTCCGTTACCCAGCCTGATGGCCTTCTCCAGGGACTGGTCTGTCTTGCAGCATTTCCAGTCTATAAGATGAAGTCTCACCATCCTGGCTTCCAAGGAGCACTCTGTCTGTCCTTCTTTCAAGACAGATTTGTCCTTTCGGGAGTCTATGGTACTTACACTGTTCTTCACCAGCACCCCAGTTCAAATGCACCAGTTCTTCGTGAAGTAGGGAAAAGGCCACACCCTCATGTCTACATAGTATACTCCCATTATATCCCTTGTCTGTTCCTAACAAGAAGACGGGTACGGAGATGTAAAACAGTAACTGCAATCAACTTTGTTACTCTGATTCTAGGTTTATACATTTCCTTAATGTAGGAGGTCCAGTTTTCAAGCTATATTAAGAAAAGTAGCTTAAAGAAAAGGTGAAAAGAACCTTTCTCCTAAATCTTAATCTGCTACTGTCAGAAATCATGGTTCATCTTTAGACCATGACAACCATGTACCGTAAATTGGTAGCCGCCTTCAGTCGCAACCCCCACCCCTGCCACCTCAAAGTGAAGGTGCAAAGGCTGTGTCTGCCTTGGCTACACCAGCAACAAAATGTAATGCAGTGTAATTCCATCAGAGAACTGGAGACTATCCAATTCCTTTTGTTGTGATTAGATAAAAATGTTGCCTGATATTATCCAGACAGACTTACAAGTCAACAGAGAGGGCTGTAGAGCATGCGTTGAAAGGGGGCTGAATGCAGCACACTCCCCTCTGCTCGGAAGGATGTCCCCTCTCCTCTGGTCTGCTGCACTGCTGAAGTCCTCCGCAGTGGCAATGAACCAAGGGAGCGATCTAACAAACTCACATTTAAATCAGAATGAATCATCAAATGGATCTTTGCTTCCTTGTTGCTGTTTCTTCCGAGCTCAGGTAAACTCAATATAAAGTAAAAGAGTGGAAAGTGGCTCATTTGGTAATGTAAACATCTGTTTATATAAGCATGCCTTGGCATCCCAACTTACCCTCTGCTAATGTTGTGCAGTATTACTTACTAAGTAATTTTCTTCTTTTTAGAACGAGACCTGTTTGGAGCAGAACCGTTTGACCCATTTAATTGTGGAGCAGGGGATTTTCCTCCAGATATTCAATCAAAATTAGATGAAATGCAGGTGACTATTTTAATAGACTTGCTAATGAGTGGTTTAGATTGTTGTATTCTGGAACAAAGAGAATGCCATATGCCAAAAATTCCATTTCCTTAAATCAATATCATAAAAACTTATATTAAAATATTAATGTATATTTAATCTTAAAAAATGTTCCTACAGGTGTTACAGATAAGGTATTTTGTTTATGCTAATGGTGCATTTTATAATGTCAATCATTTCTTACACAAAACTAAATGGATAGCTCATTATTTTAAAATTCTGAAATTCAAATATCACTGAACTTAGAAGACTTGATATTACCAGTATTGAACTTTAAATTGCAAATGGGTATATGAGGGAAAATCTTTGTAAGAGTGAAATTATGCTTTCTAAAGAGAAGCATTGTAAGTGTGGTTCATAAATTCTGGGCTTTTACTAAAAAAAACATACCCAAAGACAACTTGCTTAGGAATGTAGTCCATTGGGGCTCTCTCTCTTACTCACTCTTTCCCTCTCTCATTTTCATGCTCTCTCACTTTCGCTTATTTTTGAACTCTGAATTGTTTTGGAAATTGGGAGACATTTATTTCAAAATCACTGAACAAAAATTAATAGGCTTATAAGCACTAGAACATAGACATCTTTCATGCTTAATCAACTCCTAACATTTTTTTTCACACTCGTTTCAATTTTACTTCTTTTTTTTTTTTTAAACATTTTATTAGGGGCTCATACAACTGTTATTGCAATCCATACACACAACAATTGTGTAAAACGCATTTGTACATCATTCTCAAAACATTTTCTCTCCACTTAAACTCCCGACACCAGGTCCTCATTTTCCCCTCCCTCCCCGCTCCCCCCTCCCTCATGAGCCCTTGATAGTTTATAAATTGGTATTTTGTCATATCTTGCCCTGTCCGACCTCTCCCTTCACCCACCCTTCGGCCGGCTGGCCCCCAGGGAGGAGGTCACACATAGTTCCCTGTAATCGGTTCCCTCTTTCCTACTCACTCTCCCTTTACCCTCCCTGTTTCACCACTCACACCACTGGTCCTGCAGGACTCATCCACCCTGGATTCCCTGTATTTTGATGAAGCTGTTTCATCCTACGTTTCATCAAAAAATTACATATGATAGACTCCAGCCATACAGACCTATTATATGGGACTGATTTGGAAGTTGTGGTGAAAACACGAAAGGAGGGAGAAGGAGATTGCTTCTTTTATTAGGACTGAATTACTACACTCAGTCTCTTTATGCTTCACTTCCTGGGGGAGAGAAATAATCGTTGAAGTCTTATCTTCTAACATTCATGTATACACCACTCTCTGGATTGTAGGCTGCAGCTTTCCATCAGACTTAGTTTCTAAGTTTCACTGCTGTGAAGTGCCATTGAGTCTATTCTTGACTTATGTGACAGAATGGGACTGCCCCATTGGGTTTCCTGTTGTTTGACTAGAATCAACTTGATGGCACACCACCATCTTTTTGAAGCAGAGCTCCAGGTCTTTCTCCCATAGAGCTAATCGGTATAATTAAACCTCCAACTTTCAGTTAGCAGCTAACTGCTTAACTTGTGTGCCACTACTTGCATATATTTTTAGAAACCCAATTTATAGGAGTGATTTAGTGATTTGTTAGTCAAATAATGTTGAACTATGATATTTTTTCTTGCCACTTCTAATCTTCATGTCTTTTTTTTTTCTAATTCTTTTCTGCTTTCATGGTGGGTAGCGTCAGAGATGGTTGGTATATTACTTTTGTATTAACTTTTTAAAATATAACGCTTAAAAGCTAAAACCATATTATTTGCATGCTTTATTTAATAAATATTTGAACAGTAGTTTCCTATGAATATGTTAGATAGTTGCGTTTAAGAAGATTTTAAAATCTACATTTTGAAGTTATTTTTAATGGCTTAGTAAGTATTTCACTGTATACTTCATCACATGATTTTATGTGTCCATGATTCATTTGCCAGGTCATTTTGACTCACATAAAGTAATACTTTTTTATCCAAAGTCTGTGGTAATTTCTGTTATCTATCTTGCTAGCATAATTAATCTCATACACACACTTAGCTATTATTTTTATCTTGGCATATAAAAATTAATAAAGTATAATCCAGTCTATTACTGTTGTTGAGATGATTGGCATAGTGAGATATTTGTTTTACCTCATAATTTATGGAGAAATTTGACTAAGGCTATTTCTTAATATGTTTGAAACTTCAAAAAATGCATCATGCTCATAAGAATTTAATCAGAAATGTTAGACCATATTTTAGAACAAATTGTTGAAGAATGTTGATATTTATTTGACATCAATTATGTGGTCATTTGATTCGACATATTTTAAATTGTCTCATACATATTACTGGTAGATAAAATAAATAGAATAATTTTGCCCAGAAGTATACCTTGTGATATATGATAATTTACTATATTAAATTAAAGAAGCATGAAAGTTCAATGAAGGATGAAAGCATCATGAATTAAGTTATGTTAAGCGTACTGATTAATAATATGGGAGAAGATCATTGCATAGCTGAATCTCACAGCAAAGACCCAAGTTAATTTCAAAATGGTGTTTGAAATGCAATTGAAAACTTGTCAAGTTTTGAATTGGAGGGAACCTTTTCAGATAAAATATCAACATATATCTTCCCGGGATTTTTTTTTTTGCTCTTTAAACGTGTATAAATAGATCACAAATACATAAATAAAACGAATGCATAAATAATTCAGAAATAAGCAATCGATAAATATTCGAAAAGGCAATAGTTGACAGAGGGCCACAGTGGCCAACATATATGTAGTATGTCCAGTTAAAGAAAACACTATTTAAAAAACTGTAAATATCATTTTAATTGGGCAGATTATTTTCAGTATTCAGTACAAACAAAAGTTTGATGAAATGAGTACAGTAAGTCACTGGCTTGTTCATCCCTTCATAATCCTTTTATAATTTATTACTTGCATTTCTAATTGCAATAAAAATATTTTAAACAAGCCATTTTGGAGAGAAGAGCAGTTTAAAGGTGTAAAAATCCTATATATAGACGCATCTATTCAAACTTATTTGTAATTGTAAAGTACTGGAAGTAAATGCACAATTTTAAAATTAATAGGATAATGTAGTCAGTAAAATTCATTTTATTAAACTCAGCATCAAAAATTTGATCTACTGAGATGAAAAAAGAAGATAAAATATCTTATGTGGTGTTTCAGAAAATATACAACACACATAAAATTAAGCACAAGATAAAGTACTTTGTGTATTATTAAAATAGTTGTAAAAATTTATAGAAAAATAATGGAGTGTGTCAAAATTGTATCTTTTTAGATGAGAGCTATTCAGATAAGAGCTATTTCATGTGAGAAGCTTTTCTTGACATTCTATTCATTCTATTTCAAAGCTTTAAAAATGTAATTGGGTGAATATATTATATAAAAACATACTATTTATAGTAGATTAAAAAGACAATTATTTGTGTGATTTTTATTTGTTATAATTTCCACCACCACATAAGAGAAGTAAATCCTCACCTTCACTCAGAAGTTCAAAATATAAGAGGGTAAGGAAACCTTGAAAGGATGCAGAGATCATTAAATTTTGATCTACACAATGAGTGTTTTGGGGAAAAGACAAGAACAGGATGTTGGTTAGTAATGTGTCTTTGCTAATCGGGATAATTGGGTTAATCTAAGGGGATCTGAGTGGATCCTTAGAAAACCAAAATGGGGATTTTGTTCGTAAAAAATTAAAAAACATTTTTTAATTTTGAAATAGTAATTGCAACCTATTTCATTTTGATTGCTATTCTTTTCAAATACTGACAGTGTATTGATAAATAATAGCTATCAGAGTAGTACATCAATTGTGTAAAGCACATTTGTACATTCATTGCCCTCATCATTCTCAAAACATTTACTCTCCACTTAAGCCCTTGGCATCAGGTCCTAATTTTTCCCCCTCCCTCCCCGCTCCCCCCTCCCTCATGAGCCCTTGATAATTTATAAATTATTATTTTGTCATATCTTGCCCTGTCCGATGTCTCCCTTCACCCACTTTTCTGGCGTCCATCCCCCAGGGAGGAAGTCACATGTAGATCCTTGTCATTGTTATATAGTTTTTGTGCTGTAGACATAATGGAGAGCACTCTTGGAACATTAATATTAGATAAAATGTGCAGCTCAGTTTCAAAATCCTCTATTGCTTGATGAAATAAGTATAAATTAGATTCCTAATAATACCTGTTCTGAATGAATGTGATTTGGGGAAATGCTAACATGCACAATGAACTCTTATTGAAGTGAAGGCATTAGCATTAGTCTAATTAAATAAAACCTACAAATGGAGAGCAAAGCATTCGCTTTAAGAGACATTTTTTTCTCTTTAGGGAAAGGTGAAATATAATTAGACAATAATGCGTCACATTGCTAACTCAACCAGCAAATCACCTCCCTCAACAAAGTTTCTGTTCCGTTCATTCACTCACTCCCTGCCATCCAGTCAATTCTGACCCTTTAGGACACTGTAGAACTGCCCTTTTGATTTCCAAGACTAAATCTTCACAAAAGTCGACGGCCTCAGCTTTCCCCTGTGGAGTCGCTGGTAGATTTGAACTGTTGGTTTTGTGGTTGTCGGCTCAATGTATAATCAAAGGTAGAACATACACAAACAAACACACATGGCACTGGCACACTACTTCTTTCAGGAAATATGAAATGTGATTTCCAGTTCCACTGATTAATATGTGTCTGTGCTTTCTGCCTCTTAGTAGTCCAGTACGTATAAACTTGTGGGTAGATGTGATGTAGGATATGGGGAGATGATAAGACCCCAAAAGACACAGATTTTTGTCTTACACACACACACACAAAAGAAAGCTTGAAGTTAAGAACATGAAATTCTTTGCTACTAACTTTTAATTCAAAAATTTAAGATGCAGGCCTGAGATTTTCATGGCAGCTGTGTACTTTCTGCAATAATTCAAAGAGGATTTAACTTCCAGAAGCATCTAATACCAGGGGGTAACACCCCAATCCGGAATTTTTTCAAAATTATGTATTTAAAATTGTTTACAAAACAACCTTATCACCTTCAAAGTACTCTCCATTACACTTAATACATTTGTCAAATCTGTGATTCCATTCTTGGAAACATTTTTCAAACTCGTCTGTTTGAATGGCTGATAGCACCTACCTTGTTTCTTTCTTCACTCTTCTATGTAATCAAATTGCTGTCTTTTCAAGTCCCTCTTTGTTTATGGAAACAAAAAGAAGTCATACATAGTAAGGTCAAGTGAGTAAGATGTGTGGGGCAAGAGAGGCATGCTGTTTTTTGCCTAACACTGGCACAATGAGATGACCGCGTGAGCAAGTGCATTGTGGTGGCAGCGAGACCAGTTGTCCGACTGCCACAAATTAGACCCTTTTTGTCCCACATTGCTCAATGCTCACCTAGCGGCCCAGAGGGGTGGGGTGCCCATACTATGAAAGCTCCACCCAGTGGCACTTTTTTTCTCCCCGTTTTTTTGGGGGGTACTTTCTTGTAAAACACAGTGGTGAGAGGAGGAGTCAAAGTACTTTGTCAACTACAAGCAGTAGCAAGACAATTAGAAGAACTCCATCATAAAAGTTGTCAGTTCCAAAAGTTCTAGATGAGACATGGGATATTATCAAGATCAGAAAAAATTGGTTTTGTGTGTGTGTGTGTGTGTGTGTGTGTGTGTGTGTGTGTGACAGTAAACGTAACATTAACTGGCTTTTCATAATTTTCTATAAATAATTTAAGAATCATTTTTCAGTGTTCCATATAAGCTATATAGCATTGCATTTACTAAAAGTGTTTTACCAGACTGTGTACAGTAGCAGCCATAAAGGACATATGCAATTTGACAGTCAATCAAGTTGAGGTCTAGGTATGCTCATGCTATTTAATGCAAATTAATCTTGAAACCCAACAGATTTGCAGTGTAGAAGAATGATTAGTATACAAGCTTTATGAAAGTAGAAGTGTTTAAGTCATGAGACTACTTAATTCTATATATTCCAATTTTCTTTTGTCTTGTGTACATGCAAAGCTTACATGTATTTAGAACACTGACATGTGAATGGTTGTAAAACAGGCTGGGAATATATGTGTGCAGTAAGTTAGTAAGCAAACAGTTGATGTATAATTATTTTTAGTTGATTAAAGCATGGAGATTTCAACTTGTGTATATTGTTTTTATTTATGGATGTTTACTTTAATATGTGGGCTCATTTCTTATTGTAATGCTGCCACCCACTCTCTTTTGCAGGAGGGGTTCAAAATGGGACTAACACTTGAAGGCACAGTATTTGGTCTCGACCCATTAGACAGCAAGTGTTGATGTCAAGGACAAGATATTCTGACTCATGTTACATTTTTAATATGCATATGTATTGTTGTTACCTTATGATAGGTATTATACATGTACCAATATCTTTTTGAACATTTTAATTTTTTGAAAATTATTTCAGTTAAATTTCCCCACATATTCACCATTGGTTCATAACTTTAAAAAAATACACTGTAGAGTAAATCATTGTGTTCCTTTCTTTTTTCTGTTGGAAATTAATTTCAGATAATTTAAGGCAAATTACCCAAATATCTGTGATACATCTGAGTTTTAAACAGTTGGCATCTTGGAAATTTTCATTCATTTTCCAGACTGCTGATATATTACTGCTTTTTCAAAAGCCATATTTCAATGCCTTTTCAAGTCCTGCAGAGGTAGACCAATGCCAGAATAAATATTTTTAATTTTTAAACAAACAATCCTATGACCATTAATTAGATATATATCATTTTATCTTCTAAATGTTGATAGCTTCCTTCAAACATGTAAGCTTTGAAAATAATGCCACCAGGTCATTAATTTTTATTGGATATACTAACAAGAATGAGTATAAATTCCAATCACAAAGCAACCAACTGTGTTTAGAATGTTTATTAGTAAATGTAGTATAATTGTTAATTATCATTATTATAGTCAACATGTTTTTGTTTCATTAGTAAAGATTGTGGAAAAATGAATATTTTCCATTTTGAAAACATTCCAATCTGAATTTCTAAGGAGATAAGTTTCATTACTACATCTAACATCATCTTAAATGATAGTTTTTGTTTCAAAAAGAATAGAAAAGATCTGTAGTTACAATGTCTAGTACCCATATTTACTTTATAAAATTTCTTTTTCTGCCCTAAGTAATGACTGTCCGCTGGCATGTCTTCCCTTGATAAAGGTATTTCCTCACCAAAGTTTATTTTGTGGTGCCTCATTAGTTTTGATATTTTAAGATCTATGGCAACTATTCTTTATGAATCATCAATATTATTTAGAAAATACAATTTGCGCTTGTGCTGAATTCAGAATCTTATTTTTCTTAAGAATGCAGTTGCTGCTTTACTTGTCTTACATCTTGTGTTTTATATGATAATAAACTATGCTCTTAAGAAATATATTTTCTTTATATTTGCCCAGACTTTAATTTTTACTCAAAATAAAATTATGGTCAAAATTTCTAATTTGATTCATCACATTGTAAGAAAAGTAAATTCATGAAAAGGCGGTCTTATATTGAGGACAACCCTCAAAAGTAGAATTTTCTATATTCATGGAAAAATGTTTCAAGTGATAATTTCTTCAAGGTACATTTAGGTAGTAGTAAAGTAGTATTTTACTACTACAAGGTAGTAAAATAAATCAAATATCCTTACACAATAGTTTATTTGTGTATATATCCAAGCTGTTTTATGCTGTATATAAGCCTTCTTGTTTGTTTTCTGTCATCTGGTATGATGTATCCGCACTAGAGGGTAGCTTTTATTTTGCCAATATAGTGATATTCCCCCTTCACAGTTACCTACAGTAGAACAAATGCCCTGCTTGTATGCATTTCCTTGTTAGTCTATATTTAATTCATAAAGATTTTTGTATACTCTAACTAGCCATAGTGATGAAGTTTTCAAGCGTTAACTGAAAAATTAGCAGGTGAAACCCACCAGCCTTCCCCTGGGAGAAAGATGTGGCAGTCTGCTTCCGTGATGGTCCAGCCATAGAAACTAATGGAGCAGTTCAACTCTGCTCCATAGAGACCCAGTGAGTTTGGGATATGTTTCACAAAGAAGAGTCTTTATAATTTTGTTTGTCATATAGTATTTTGGAATTTGTACAATGAGGATGTTTAGAAGCCATATCAATGGCTTTTTTTAAACAGATAGAATTTGTATTTTTATTGTACTTAAAAAAAATGACATAATCAGCATATATTTAGGGGCCATTTATTACCGATGGTAACACAATAGAGTACTAAGATGGTATTTGCACACACGAGATATGTTTCATTACCAGTTTTTAATGGTAATCAGCTCTGCTTCTAGCATGATTAAATAGTACATAATCAGCCATTAATTATGAAGTTATTTCCCCAGTGCTTTTTTTATGAGGATCTGGTTGAAAATTGTATTTCTATGTAATCTCAATGATGTGTTTAATTTTGCTGAAAAATAAATGTTTTTAAATAAATTCAATTGTATAGTTTACTCATTTAAAAAATTCTAATTTAGATCCTCTGAAACTAACTACATAGAAAGCTTTTCTGGTTGAAAAATTTGAACCAAACGAAGCACAGAGAGAGACAAAGAACGAACAAAGAAAGAAATATTCACGTCTTACAGTCCACACAAATATCAGCTTTATAAGCAAATATTATTCAGTTCGGCAAACGGTGGATTTGATTCTAATGGTGAGAAGGTCCTCATCTGGTTTCTTTCACCAGGAGCATCCGCACAAGAACTGCAATCTGTAAATATCTCTTTCCAAAATTAAGGGACCTTAATTTAGTCTAGCAAACAATGGCTTGGCTGATGGTATTAAAAATAGACTTTATGGTAGGATTTCGAAGTACAGTCTATTATAAAAACACACGTTAGTTGATGAACAATTTCACTTCATTCGAGAAAATTAATCTCACTGTTTGACTGACACGGCTTAATGGGTAAGGCGTCTAGTAAGTTCACTGAAGGACATAGTTAATCAAAGATGATGGGATCAGTGCCTCAGCTGATCGTAAAGGAAGGGTAAGGCAAGTATATGAATTAGTAAATGCAAAAGAAAAATTTGTTGTTGGTGGTGGCTCGTACAGCTCTTATCACAATCCATACATCCATCCATTGTGTCAAGCACATTTGTACATATGTTGTTAACATCATTTTCAAAACATTTTTTTCTACTTGAGCCCTTGATATCAGCTTCTCATTTTTCCCTCCCTCATGAACCCTCAATAATTTATAAATTATTCTTTTTTCATGTCTTACACTGACCAGTCTCCACCCACTTTTCTGTTGTCTGTTCCCTTGGGAGGGGGTGGTATGTAGATCATTGTGCTTGGTTTTCCATTTCACCCCCCACCTTCCCCTTACCCTCCTGGTATTGTTACTCTCAATATTGGCCCTGGGCGGGTTTAACTTTCCTGGATTCCCTGTGTTTCCAGCTCTTACCGTACCTGTGTGCATGCTCTGGTCTAGCCAGATTTGTAAGGTAGAACTGGGATCATGATAGTGGGAGGGGAGGAAGCATTAAACAACTAGAGGAGAGTTGTATGTTTCATCAATGCTATACTGCACCCTGACTGGCTCCTCTCTTCCTTGTGACCCTTCTGTAAGGAAATGTCCAATTGCCTACAGATGGGCTTTGGTTCTCCACTCTGCATTCTCCCTTATTCACATTGATATGATTTTTTGTTCTGGGTCTTTGATGCCTGATAACTGATCCCATCTATACCTCGTGATCACACAGGTTGGTGGGCTTCTTCCATGTGGACTTTGTTGCTTCTCAGCTAGATGGCAGCTTGTTTATCTTCAAGCCTTAAGACCCCAGACGCTATATCTTTTAATAACTGGGTATCATCAGCTTTCTTTACCACATTTGCTTAGGCGCCCATTTTGTCTTCAGTAATCGTGTTGGGAAGGTATAAATCACAGAATGCCAGGTTATTAGAGCAAAGTATTCTTGCATTGAGGGTGTACTTTAGTAGATGCCCAATGTCCATCAGCTACCTTAGTACTTAACATATAAATATATGTACATAGACCTATTTCCCTATCCTTATATATAAATATATTTACATATGTACATGCTTGTATTTAGACCTCAATAAATGTCCTTTGCCTCCTAGTTCTTTCCTCTATTTCTTTGGTAAATGAAAAAGCGATGGGTATAACATTGCAGTTAGAAGGAAAAACAAACAAAAAAATTCCCTGGAAACATTAATGCTTAATTGTGTCTAGATATGGGCACCTCATATGGGTAAGCATTTGGAGTGGCACAGTGGTTAAGGTGATTGGCTGCTAACTGAAAGGTCAGTCCACAACTGCTTGCATACCTTTACAGCCTTAGAAAGCCTCTGGAGCAGTTAGAGGTGTCCTAAAGGGTCGCCAGGAGTTAGAAGGAACCCAATGGCAAAGGGCTTTTTGGCACTGGTGGTGGTTAGCTTGCCAGTGAGTCGTGGGTTACGGCTCATAGCAAGCCTATGTGCACCGGAAGAGAACACTGCCCAGTCCTGCCCAATCTTCACCATTGTTCTTGTTTTTCTGCCCATATTGCAGCCACTGGGTCAGTCCATCTTGTCTAGTGTGGACGCCATTACAAGATGGCGCCGGACCGCGCCCGCATCGTCAGAGCTAAGCTGTAAACAAGCTTGTTGCGCATGCGCTGCCAGCCGCTCGCTACGCATTATCACATTGCACCAATCCTGGTAGGACACGTCACCGAGCAGGGTATTTATACCCGGGGTTTTAGGAGCTTGGGGTCTTCCGCAGCTGACCTCGGAGCAAGAGGCAGCTTAAATAAACTTCGCAGATTGCATCTACCAGAAGGGTCCTGACCATTCTTGTCTCGGTCTGTGTTGCGCCGTGTCATCCGCGCGCGACAGTCTAGGGCTCTTCTACTTTACCAAGCATGACGTCCTTCTCTAGGATTAGTATCTATTAGTCAGATATATAATTTGGGATTTACCAGGACAGGCCAATATCAACAATTCCTTATTTTTTTCTTATCTCTTCTTTCCTTTATTTTTTATTCAAAACATACTTTTGTTATGACAATCATTTTTAGATAGACTTTCTGATAGTGTCCTTGTTATATTTCTAAATACTGACTTAAAAAAAAAACATTTTGATGTCATTCAACACAAGCATGAAGGGAAAAAAAACAAAGCTGGTTGCTAATATTTTTGCGGTCCAGTGTTTCCATTTGCAATTCCAAATTCAATATTTACTCATGATTTTGGGTTTCAGCCTCTTTTAAATTACTTGAACAATCTTGGCCTTGGTTTTGACAAGGAAATCTTAGACTCCACCTAAGTGGCACCCTTTACAAGTAGCTGATCCACACGTGTGATGGGAATGGCTGGTATTGTATTGCCCCTCAGATACCAAACTGATTCAAGAAATTCACCAGATTGAGTCTTTAGAAATGCAGAAGTATTCACTGATTTACACCTTATGCTTTTATAGATTTGTCCCTCCTACTTTATGCCCAAGCTAACCTTTCTAGAATTTTCTTATATCAGAATTTCTCTAGAATTCATCGGAGGTGTGAATACCAACTCTTAGATATATTTATGGCTTTCTCTTACCTTTCTTTCAAGTAAATTACAGTAGAACCCCGGTACTCAGCATAATCATATTTCAACGCGAAATGTTGAGAAAATTTTGCATCAGAGCTCAAACAAAACATTGGAATCCAACCCGACAAACGTGATTTTTGTAAACAAAAGCAGTTCGTGTTTCAGCCACTCAGCGTTAATTGTCATTAGTACGCGTTGTTTAAACCTTTTGCAGCTGTGTTCCAAGCATTTTGGTATAAATTTCTTAGTTTTTGTGGCTTTTTGTACTTTTTTAGATAAAAAACATGGGTCCAAAGAAATCGTTTTTGGGGTTTTTTTAATCTTCATGATAAGGAACTAGTTAACTGTGTTATCGATATTGTTGATGATAACTTAGTAAACCCTTTTAGAATCCAGTTAAGGAAACATCAACAGCAGACCACATGAGACAGATTTTTTTGTTGTTTTTAGAGAAAGGCAAACAGGTGCTAGTGAAAAAAGGCAAAGAAGGGAAAAACCTGAAAAGCAGCTACCAGTTGATTTGATGGAAGGGGATTTCCCTTCCAAACAATGACTGAACCTCTCCATCCATCCTCTCCACATCCATGTCCACAGATCCAGATCCTCATCCATCTCAAGGTATGGGCCATACTGCAGTTGTTAAAAACTTTTTCAATGTTGTGCTTCTTTAAATTATCTTATTTACTTTGGAATTTCTGTGTAATGTTTTGTTTTTCACTCGGTCGTCTGTGTAATGTTTTATATAAAAAGGCTAAGGTTAAGGTAAAAACTTGGTGGTCGAAAATGGATTAATCCGTTTTCAGTTATTTCTTACGGGAAAAATTGATTTGGAACGCGACTGCATCGCATCTCAATGCTCCTTCTAGAACGGATTAGCGTTAGGTCCAGGTTCTACGATATTATGAAATATGGATATTACTTAGTAGCAGAAAATATTATCTTTCTTTGGATTAATTAATTCCCACTCTAGTTCATGGATTCTGACAACACATACCGGTACTTCAGAAAAGGTTTAATAGCATAGAATATTTTATGTAGCATAGATAGTTATAGTAGAATAACTTAATAGCATAGAAAAGATAGCATACTTAACATAATAGTTGAGTTTAAAGGTTCATTCTCATTTTTTAAAATCTATCATACATTGAAGTATCTGAATTTCTTATTTGGCAATACTGTGGTTTGTGCAGGTTTATAGTGTTACCTTAACTGCATCACCAGGAGCCCTCATGGAGGAGTGTTTATGTGCTTGACTAATAACCACAAAGTGAGCAGTTAACTCAATTGCAGTGCATTTCATTGTTGACTTGTTTGTAACCGTATAACCAAATATTTGCAGTAATTTATCTTTATTTATGTTATCCATTGTTTGCTATTCATTCAGAGGTGCACTGGAAATTCACTGAGCCAGGCTCCTTGAATTTACAAACAACTCTACAGGTACTTTTGAACAGACATTAAGACTTTCAAATATTAAGTGGACATTCACTCACTGCCATTTAGTCAGTTCTGACTCATGTCAACTACCGAGCACATACATCTCTACCACAGACTTTAGAACTGCCTAGGTGAATCTCTCACACTGACAAAGCCTCATCTGCCAAGAAGCAGCTGGAGGTTTTGAACTGTTTACCTTGAAGTTAGAAGCCTAACATGTAACCCACTATGCTACGAGGAGCTAAAATCTTAAAAGAATTCTTTAGTACTATTGGACCATTGGACTTAACACATTCTCTTGTACAGGACACATGAAATTCCAAACTATCTTCTTACTAACTTGGAATTCATCACCTTCTAATGATTAGTACAAGGGTTAGTTATATATATATAACATATACACACTCAAAATCATGGAAATTTTCATTAAACAAAAATATCAAAATGTGAAATTTTTTCTCTACA